AAAAGCTCTCCTGCTGTCATAGTTCTTAATCTAATATGTTTCTGAAATCAAGTGTTGTCTCTTTGTGCTGGTTGCAGTAGCTCTGGAGGCCCTTTCTCCATCAACAGCTAGTGCTTGTTGTTCATGTGTTAAGTAGCACTGTTCGCTTCACTGAGCTTTAGTTGCTTCCTGCTGTTGGTGACTCTGAAAGTTAGAATCAGGGTGAATATCACTGTCCAGACATATAGAAAACACAGCATTGCACCATCACGATCTGGCATTCTTTTGTCTTGCAGAAAAAGTGGTATGACACAGAAAATGAGTATTATCTGCTGCTCTTCACTGTGTCTGTCCGCTGCCTGTTCTGCACTAGCTTCAGCCTGGAGTACTGCTGGCATGGATCTGCCCAGAAGTCATCCCACTCATTCCTATGGATGCTGGCATATGTGTTTTATTATCCCACATTCCACAATGGACCCCTTGTGAATTTTGATGAATTCAGTAAGCAGGTAACAGTGGTTTTTAAGATCATGCAGTTACAGATTTTCCAGGGCATCTGTGCCCCAGGTGAATTGGGTGAAGAACTAATGAGGCAGATGGTGATCTCTTTTCAGCTGCCAAATCTAGACACAGAGCCTGTACTTTGAGGAAAAGATTAAAGCATGATAGGTTGATTATCTTTTTTCCTCATCTTGAGAGATTTTAATACCAATCATGAGAAAATATTAGGTAGACAATTTCATTCAGTTTTCCTTGAGATGCTCTTTTAATGGTGTATTTTGTAATGTAGTTACAGGTAAGCCTGAATTTCTATTTATTTTCTAGTTACCTGCTTGACCAGAATTGACACTGAGACTTTCAAACAGTTGTTGGTAATGCTAGTCTGTATCTGTCCTTTTCTCTGTAAGTGTTGAAGTATACTGCATGCAAGAGGGAAGGCTGTAGTTAGAAACCAGTCTTGGGTATTCATGCTTGTATGCCAGCCATGGCATAAGAATGAATTCACATAAGGCTGGTAACTAACATTGAGAATATAATTAGTCAAAATATATTGTCAAAATAAGTCTTTATCTAGTGCTTGGGTGGAGAGAGAGGTTGATTAGACTCCAATGTTAGAGAAGGTGGAAAGCAAGCAAAATAGTTTTTGAAGGATGGATGATTAATCTTCTCTGTCAGACTCTGATCTCTATTTCCTTCTGAAATAAATATTTTTCTGTCAATGAGGTACTTTGGAGAAAAAACCTACATAAAAGGAGTTTTTGTGCATGTTTTGACTTTAGTAAAAGCATCTATAACTGATTCTGTAATATTGTTCATTCTTACTAGTGATTTGAAAGATGTCAAGTTTTATTTGGTCTCCTTGGAGATTAAAAATTGTTTGGGAATCTAAAGCTATCTTCCACATAATTTTGAAAATATCAAATGTTGTAGGAATGTGGAGACTGGACTACTTTGAGCATAGCATTGAGAATTTGACAATGTCCTGGATGTCAATGTTAAGACAAACCTTCCTCCTCAAGTTCTTCTGCTTTACAGGATGATTTTGTCTGACCTCAGACTTATCCCTTCAACCAGGGAGCCAATGACACATGTTGTTACATTTGGAGAGCGTTTGTAATTTTAGCATGCAGCTACTAGACTGGATTTTTTTCTCCATCAGGTGGAATAAAGAACATTTTCAGCAGCAGCTGGCTATTAACTCTGAAACAGACTTCAGAGTCACAGAAAGCTGCTAGTTTGTATTGGGAATTCCTGAAGACTCCAGTTTCCCCTCATGCTAGTGTGAAAACAATTGATGATTTATTTGGAGTGCTTTTCTTCAGACTTTAGCAGGTTGGGCAGCTCCTTTGATGTGAAAGACCTACCTGTCTTACTGAACGTTTTTCCTAGTGCCTTACAGGCTGCTTTTCAAGCCTGCTTCTACATGACAGGGAAAACCCCGTGTTTCCATGCTTTATTGCTGCTCTTTCTTGCACACTTGAGTAAGATGTGAAACTACCACCTGTGATGTCTATAGCTAACATCATTGGGATAAAGTGGATAAGTGGACATTTCAAACCATAAAACTGCCATTTCAGTTTGTGTAGAAGCCCAGGGATTGCTTGCTTCTGTTTATATTTGGAAATTTTCTGTTGAAGCCACAGCAAATACTGGGCTTTATGGAAGTGAAAACTGAGATTCTAGTGGACCCCTGAGTGACAAGACCTATATCTTCAGTAGCTTTGGAAGATGCAAGGCTGGATGTTGTAGGAAAAGTCTGCATAGACTTGCATGGAAACCGAGGTAACTTTTTTTTACTGTTTATTGTTTTGTAGCTTCTGAAGTGTGTTAAGTTCCACCTATTTTCTTGTACCCTGAGCAGAGAGAGAGTTGTTTTTTTCAAGGAATTTTTCAGAAGACCTGTGAGACTCCAAGTTGAGAGCAGCTTGGGGATAGCTGATAGGAAAAACTGTGGGAGGGTCTTGCATTGAAACTAAGCTCCTCTGATATGGCTCAGCAAAGACCTGTGCAAAGACCACCTGCGTCCTCAGTGTGAGAAGAAAAAAGAAGATTGAGAATGGTATGCCTGTATTTGCAGTAGGCTCTCATTTAAATATGCACAGACCTGTTTGGCTAAAGCCATAAAGAAGATGGAACAAACTGAACAACCTTAGTGTTTCTTGCGGATGTTTGAAGTGCATTGTCAGAACTTACCTGAACAGAAGATATTGCCTTGTCAGGTGAGATTGGAGAAGGGTTTCAAAGTTTGCAGTGCCCAGCAGTTGATTCAAAGTGCACAATACAAAGAGTATGTTTATTGCTGCTATCAGAAAAGACCACCTGCAAAATGCCTTAACTGAAGCTGAGACTGAGACGAGGGCTCCTGCTGAGCACACTGGAAAGCAGAAATCCTGGAGATGGAGACAGAAACTGCTGTATGGCCTGAAGAATGTAATACCAATGCTGGTGGTTGGCATCCATTGCCAGGTGAAAATGAGAGACTAACACTTCTTCAGTGGCCTTGTTGAATTTCTGGGTTGAAGGAGGGCATAGCAGTTCTAGTCATGGGTTTGAAGACCTGTTGTGTAAATCCCTGCAACTAAATGGTAGTCTCCAAGCTTTCATCTAGCTGGTACAAATGAACCTTCAAAATGAGCATCCTGCTTCATTTGTAAGTGAGCAGAGCTAGCTGCGTGTTCGCTGTACCATATGCTTGCAATTATGAGGAGGCTTTCTCCATGCAGATGGCTTGGTTGCTTTTCTTGTGTGTGCATTTTAGTGGCCATTTAGAGACTGGAGAAGGAAATGTTGTACACACATGATGATAGGTGTACAAACCGTGACTAAATTTTTAGGCAATCCTATGTTTGTTATTTGATAATATTCTCTTTTACGGTGGGAAGAAGGCAAAATAATAGTATATCAATGTGTTTACTATAGTTAGCAGCATAAGAGTTTGGGGCATCTTGAGAAGCCTGTCAACTGCAAACCTTGTCTTATCCAATATTTAACTTGTACTTAACTGGCTTTTGCTCAGCATGTTATGTAGATCTTGCTGACCTTGGCAATGCTACAGGAGAAAAATGAAGAACTATCCTCAAATAATCAATCCCATGCAGCTGGTAGAAGTCGGGAGGTATTTTAAGAGCAAGCAGTCATTGTTTCTGTGTTTGGTATGGCTGCTGCTTGGAAAGCCTTCTCCTTCATAGCTGTGACTTCTTTAAACTTTTTTATCTCTAGAGGTTGATCAAGTTACAGGAATTAAGTGTCTCATGTCTGGATTCTGTTCAGATTAACAGCGCTTAGCCTTTTCTATAACAGTTTGGTGCAGTGTATGTTCATGTTTGGTCTTTTGTTGATTTCTGCTGCTTACTGAGATTGAGAATGGAGAGACTAGTCTCCCTTATGTCAGGCATTTCCAAATGGTGTAGTCACTTGGTCACCAGAGTAATGAATAGCAAATGAAACTTAAAAAAAGTTCTCAGGATGAGTATTTGAGTACAGCAGTTAGTCATGTGCCATATAACCTCTTTGGATTTCTTCTTTAGATGAGAAGACAAGAAGCCTTCAGTTTGAAGACCAATCTCAGCATCTTAATCATGGGAATAATTCGTATTTTCTTTTGGTGGTGCCTGGCTGAGCTGATGATTCATCTCATGTATATCCATGCTCTCTACAGCAGTGCTTCACCTTTGGAAGCTGTGTCATACTGGGCTTTGGGTAAGTACAGAAACAGTAGTGGAAATCTTCCTTCTCCCCTTACTTCAAGAACCCCCGTCTACCCTTCTCTTTTTTTTTTATGTCCATCTGTAGGTACTTACAAATAGTATGTTATGGCCAGTCACTGTCAGAAGGGTGGTCTACAGGCTCTTAATATAACATGCAGATCCCCTAAGAAGCTTACAGTTGAACTTATTGAGCTGCTTCCTAAATTGGAAAAAATGCAGAATATTTTTAATCTAAAGTGTATGTCTAAAATTTGGTCCCATAGTCATAGAAGTGGACACTTAAAGTTCGTTTAATATAGGGATGGAGGAGATGTTAAGAATTGAAGTGTTTATTGATCTCCTGTGTTTGTTTCTAGCTTGTATTTGTTTTAATTTGGTCCAAAGTGGTTCCCCCATAGTCATAGAAGTGGACACTTAAAAAAAGTTCGTTTCATGGAGGAGGAGATGTTAAGAATTGAAGTGTTTATTGATCTCCTGTGTTTGTTTCTAGCTTGTATTTGTTTTAAAAGGTAAAAAGACAGTACTCATGAAGAGTGCAGAAAAGGAATTGCAAACATGTTGGCCTGCAAGTAGCAGTTGTTGCCTCTCAGCTCTGTTTTCCTGTTTGACTTCCTCTTCTTCTGCCCCCTCTCAGCATCCTGGTGTTTCATTAAAATGCCTAACTGGGGGAGTGGGGGGAGGTGGAAATGAGCGCTGATAAATTTAGCATAAAATGGCAAGAGCTTTGTGTGCTGGTATGTAGGTAGATGTAGGCTAACCCATAAACAACTGGCATATGTGATTGGTTTGTTTCTATTGTCCTGCTATATGTATCACCAGGTAGGAGGAATGAAAGCAGAGAAGCCCAGACCTTAAAATTGAGTTCTGAAAAAAACTGATTGAGTTGAACGAGATGCCTCTTACTGTACCAGCAAGTAACGGGAATTGATACACGCACTGGTATGGTCCTGTCAAGCATTCATTGGAGATCATGTATGATGAGCAGTGTGTGTGTTAGAGGACACTTGTATATTGGACTCTGGTCAGTAGAGGGCAATATGTGTGCTCTGTCTCTGTATGTGTTTATATGTATGTGCATATATATGCACACACTTAATATGTATTTCAAAATATAACTTTTATATATAAAAGAGTGAGAGCAGAAAGCGAGGTTTGCCTCCATGGTTGATTCTACCTCTCCTCACTCAGTCACTGTTTAGAAAGTGGATTCTGAGTTTTCATCTGTTCTAAATGTCAAATCATTGATGAATTAAATCTGTTAGCTCCTGGTGTTGTCTGTCTGACAAAACACTTTGTGCTACTGAGCATGTGGAACCTGGTAAGTGCTGGCCACTGGATAAGGCAGGCAAGGCTGTGGAATTAGGGACAAAATATTCCGGCTTTGGTGTTACTGGTGGATTCCTCCCTCCCTTCAAGACCACCAGTGTTGATTTAAAAAAAAAAAAAGGAGATGGGGAAATGTTGCTTTCCAGACAATAGCTAAGTAGACTATGTATTTATGTGACAAAATCAAGTGTTGTATCCTAGGTATAGTCCCTTGGGAGACTGTCCTGAAGGACAAAGGAGTCTGGGAAGGCTGGATATGCTTTAAAAAGGAATTACTTAATGCTGAGGAACAGGCCATCCCTGTGTGTAGAAAGACAAGTCATTGGGGAAAAAGACTGGCTTGGAGAACTTAGACTGGAGCTTAGGGATAAAAAGAGAATATATCATCTCTGGAAGGGAGGTGAAGTAACCTGAGAGGAATATAGGGATGTTGTGAGGTTGTGTAGGGAGAAGATTAGAAGGACCAAGGCTCAATTAGAACTTGATTTGGTCATTGCAATTAAAGATAATAAAAATTTCTATAAATACATTGCATTCAGCAAATGGAGACTCTCCCTGACCCTCCTTTTGCTGCCAGAGTGTAGTGTAGCAACAGGGGATGAGGAAAAAGTTGTCCTCAGGACACCCAACCCCCAGAGCCAGATGTTAGGGATGGGGGAGCTGAGTGAAGCCCTCATAATCCAGGAGGAGATGGTTAGTGATTTGCTGTGCCAGTTAGACACTTATGAGTCTATGGGCCCTGATGAGACTCACCCCAGAGTAATGAGGGAACTGGCAAAAGAACTTGCCAAGCTTCTCACAATCATCTAGCAGCTGTCCTGGTTAACTGGAGAAGTTCCAACAGACTGGAGGCTAGCAAATGTAATGCCCATCTACAAGAAGGATTGGAAGGATGATCTGGGGAACTGCAGGCCTGTCAACCTGACCTCAGTTCTGGGCAAGGTTATCATTATGATCGCTCTCTACAACTGCCTGAAAGGAGATTGTAGCAAGATGGGGGTTGGCCTCTTCTCCCAGGCAGCTCATGACAGGACAAGAGGGCATAGTCTGAAACTGCACCAGGGGAAGTTCAGGCTAGAAATGAGGAAGCATTTCTTCACAGAAAGGGTCGTTAGGCTTTGGAATGGGCTACCCAGGGAGGTGGTGGAGTCACCATTGCTGGAGGTCTTTAAGAAAAGACTGGAGGTGGCACTTAGTGCCATGGTCTAGTTGACATGGTGGTGTTAGGGCAAAGATTGGACTTCATGATCCCAGAGGTCTCTTCCAACCAAATCGCTTCTGTGAATTAAGATGCATTTTGAACAGATGATTAGAAAAGACTGAAATGCCTCAAGGCAACAGGTGATGAAAGCCAGTGTGAAAGCAAGTTTGGACTGTAAAGCTGCCTGATTAAAATATGATCATTTGAATTGAAACAAGTCCTCTGCGGAGACCCTCCTTTTAGGAAAGGTGTGTTTGAAGCGTAACCCTACTGTTATTGAGCTTTGTTTTTTGTAGTAATGAAAGCAGGTATTTAAATGTTATAGTGCAAATGAGATTCTGAGGCAAAAGTTTGTCACTTCTTAAAATGTTTTCTCTGTAAGTTTTTTTTATCAGTGATTAGACTGGTCTCCTTGAAGTCAAACTGGTGACAGGCCACTGTTGTGACTTTAGGGAGCCACTGATATGAGCAAGGGTACTGGTAATACTTTTCTATTGATTCTTACCACATCCTTATGGATTTTACCATGTTTCTATACCAGTTCTTGTACAGAGCCAAACACTCCTTTCCATTATTTCACATTCTATGTTATTAAAACCAGTTACATCTGATAACTGAGTCTTGAGACCAAGGAAGCAGCTTACTGTTGACTTGGGAGAATTAACCACATGATATATTAGCCTTTCTGCACTGCTGGGTTTTTTGTTCATTTTGTGTTTCCAATTTAACTACAGCAGCTTCAAAATGGCACAGAGCATCTACTTGCATTGTGATGTCTGGCTGCCCCGATAGCTTGGTAAACTTGGGGGAA